GACCATTTTAAAACTCTTTGACCAGCAGCTTCCTCCTTTACTCCCAAATCTCTACATTCTTTTCATCTTTATCACAGCTTCTGCTCTCAAATACCAATTTTTCCCAAAGATATCTGAAGGATTTGAACTCTTAAAGGTGCTTCTAGGACAACCACAAATGGATTACAACAATAGATTAGGTTTTAAGGGACTCCTTAACACCATTCTGTGGGCTCAGGAATCTTAATGTTAGCTTTCTGTTCAGAAACACTAGGACAATGAGCAGCAGCCTTCTCTACAAAAGCTACTAGATATAAAAGCAGCTATATCATGAAAAGGGGTTCCAAAAACTTCACCACTTCCAATCTGGGTTTCCTGTGAACATTCAGAAAAGGTACATATATCTAGGGATTTTTTAAAAAGGAAAAAAAAAAAAAAAGACTTTTTCTGGCTGCTCCCATGGTATTATAGCCAAACAGCATGAGCTCAACTCCTAGCTTTCAAGACATGAGATAACTGACAGAACATGACTGCACTGTCACCTCAATTGCCAAGAACCACAGACCTAATCTAGCTCTATCCGGAATTCTGAGGTGATGTTGGTTAAATTCTTCCATATTTCAATTACTAATGTTTTCACAGAAAGGGTCACAACATTGCTAAAAGAATATTAATTTCCATGGTCTGGGGTTGTGGCTCAGTGGTAGAGCCCTTGCCTAGCACGTGTGAGGCACTGGATTCCTCAGCACCAAATTAAATAAACAAAATGAAGTTATTTTTTAAAAAAGAATATTAGTTCCCTAATAAGAATATTATACTAAGTCAGTAGAAATAGAAACTTATTGATAACAAATATTATATAAACAGGTTATAAAAAGACAATTCTACATCTCTTCCATCACTAGAACACTATCTTGGACAAAGCCTCTTTTTTTTTTTTTTTTTTTACTTCTTCTACATGTCCATATTTTTATTATGGCATGAAAAATAAAACTAGGTTCTCTCAGTTCATTTCTCTTAGGTAGCACTGTCTAATGACAGATTTGCATTTTAGTTTGGGGCTTTTTATTGTTGTTATCATTTTTGGGGTTTTGCTGCCTAGCAGAAAATGTACTTGTAAGTGAGCATTCAAAGATGGTGTCTGTCTGACTAACCAGGAAATCACCTCTGTTTATTTTCCATATGATAATTTCTTTATACTATTCTTTCTAGTTCTGAATCTTTCAGAGTGAGTTCTCAAAGACCACCTATAGAAAAATGAGAATTACTGGTTACAACCATTTCTAAAATATGCTGTTTTTTATTTTGTCTCAAGACACTCTTGGAAATGTGTTAAGTAATAACAAAGACTGTTTCTACCACTACTTTCTAATTAAAAGTTGCACTGATTTCTAATTCAGCCTTAAACTGTTAATGATGCTAATCCTCAATTACTGTAGTCTAATTTTCCACAAATGAAATAAAAAAAACTTAGAAAGATAAAAACAGTTTAACCTATATTCTATCACACAGAGAAACTATGAGCTTTTATTTCATTAGGGTTTTCTTTCAATTCAATAATTTGTAGTAGAATGTTATATATCTACACACACACACACACACACATATATATATACTCACACATACATATATGTATACATATGAAGCTACAATTTTATATTGCTTTATAACCCACAAATACCTAATTTATTGCCAAGACTTTCCATTTTAGAAATGAAAAATACTTTCAACTGGATACCAATCTGAAAATGTAAACAAAAAAAACTTTTTAAATAAGAAAATATATAATTGTATACCAAGCTATAGCAATATGATCATTATGGCAGTTATTTTCCTATGAAAAAAAAATAAAGCTGTTTAAATTGTTTTTTTCAATTCTGGTTCTTCAAATACCAATGCTTTTCCAACCTCTAAATTTACTTCAGATCACACTACAAACTACAAAGTAGTAACAAAATATCTCCTATATAAGAGCAAGAAATTTATTCATCAACATGTTTCCAAATCTTGTGAACACTTCTAGTATCCTAAAAATAAAGTTGCTGATATCTAGGCCCAACCTCTGAACTTGTCAATCAGATTCAGAAGGTAAACCTTGGCTTTAGCATTTCTTAATATGAATTTAAGTTAGTCTGAAATATGCCAACCCTGCATGCAAATGAGGACAAAGATAGACACCAAATAATTACTTCTCTTTATTTAGTAGTATCATTTTTCTGTCCAAAAAGGGAGGGAAAAAAAAAACCTACATAGTTGCCATAGAATTTTTGGTTGTAGTGAATAAATCACTACTTCCTAAAAGTTTCACCTCTACCTGCCTAATAGACACAAGAGTTATTGTGAAACCAATCTTAAATCTCTCTCCCCATAAAACAATCACCAGAGATCCAAAGGCAAATTAGATATCCAGTATTCAGCTTAACAGTCAGCGGTCCCTCTCCAAGGGTAAAGCCAAAAATATCTTCTGGACCAAATGGGAATTCCTCACCCTAAGGTCTATCCTTATAAGTTCTTTCTGGAAACATGCATGTTATATGGGTTGTAGCAGCATGTTACCTGGACATGTTAACAACATAGGATATTCATCAAATGAACTCATCATCAACAGGTAGAGAGCAGAACCCAAGAAAATGGGCCACATCAGCAGCAACTTTTGTCTGTGTGTGTGTGGTGCTGGGGAGAGCAGCAACTTTTGACAGGAAATGGAGGAATGACAGAAATCCCTACTGGATAGACAAATCTTAAAGGCCAGAATGTCTAAATTCACTTCTTTTACAAATTTATAGGTCAGGAGGTAGAACCACTGACAAGATTTTAACTGAAAGATATGTGGTCCTGAACCACTGAAGCTGTTCTAAAGTTTCCACACCTCTTTGTCTATATATGGACATATGAGAAAACATAAGTGGTAAAGATTTTATTAAATGAGGATGAACGTGTAACAAAAGCCAATACCAAGCTTGATAAATCCTTCAATAATAAATTCTAATAGTTATTCTGCAACAAAACACCCAGACAGATGACAAAATTATATGTGCATATTTTCTGCATTCAAAAGAATTAAGTACAAAGATAAGCATATTTACCATTATGTCATGTCATGTTAGAAGATATTAGAAAATTCTACAGCAAATCTTCCAAAGTTTTGAATTAAATCTACCTAAAACCTGAAAAGTACCTCAAACTGCCAGCATATAATTTCTTGCTGTACTTTCTATATTACTTGCTAAAGGATGCTCATTCAAGTTCCAAGTAGTGAAACTACAGTACCTAAAATGATACATTGTCAATCTGTCTCCAGCAACAACTCTGAAAATACGGATAATAGACAGGAAAGGATTAGAAATCCAATTTTCTACATGAAAATTTAAGTATTGCTTTTTTGTTGTTGTTATTGTTCTCTGGGATTTTGCCACTATCCTTCCAATTGTGACAATTTGTAATTATTCACATCTAGAGTAAGATATTCTGAGGGGAGAAGATTAATTTTAAGACTTAAAAATGTATTTTAATCCTGTAAATAAATGTTCAGCAAAACAATTCGCATTAGTCTTGATCAAATAAGTGATTTAGTCTTGTGATTTTTTTTAATTAGATGAAATGTCACATTTAAAATCCTATAAACATGGAAGATACAATTATTCCTAGGATAAAAAATAGGCCTTTGAAATACTCACAATGACTTAATAACCTGTATTAATACATATTTTACACTCAAATACTAGATGGTCTCTGGTTCCTTTCAGCTCATATCTTCCTTAACTCTACCAGATTATTCTTAGAACCTTAGCACTTACAGGTAGAACCTGAATATGAAAGAAAATTCACAATTAAAGTTATCCTCATTAAGCCTAATTAAACAGTACAGACAGAAAGATGGCAGTAGAATAAAGCAGTCTGAATTAGGGATAAGGAGAATATAATTAATAGTTCTTCATCCCATGAATGAAGCAAAATATACAAGTCTGGCTGGAGTTTGGGATATAGTGGACAATATCTGTCTTTTGGGTGAACTAACTCAACAAGGTATAGACTTTTGTATCCTATTAATGCGATACTCTATCTGAAGTAACCAATCATCCCGCAGGAAAACACGTGTCACCTAGAGTCAATCCCCTAATTTTAGTATGTAGTCTCCCTTATTAGCAGTTTTCTTACTTTCTATCCTAAAGGGGAATCCATAAGCTTAAATGCTGCAGGTATCTCACTCCTGTATTTTGACTCCAGCCCTTCGGGTCCAAACAAAAGCTATTAAGTAGGGTGGGATTTATTCTCTCCATTCGGTAAAAGGTTGTGGCTGTTTTCAGGATATAGGCTCCCGCTTTAACACCTGCCATAAATTGTGATATTACCGTGACAGATCCTTCATATTCAAAGAGTTCTTGATTGAAATACTGATAATATCAGGAGTCAGTGAAAGGAAGTGTGATGGCCCTGCAGAGTGCACCAGAAATAAACAGGAGAGTGGCAATGCTGGCAGCACTTCGGAGGCTCATGGCGGGGCGAGGAAATCATCCCGTAAGTTTCCCTTCCTTCCATGAAATTACCCTGCCATGCCCCGCATCCCCACCCCACCCTACTACAAGAAGTCAGTCCCGCAACTCGCTGTAGGACAGGGGGACAGCTCCTCACCCACCGGCAGAAGTTGGGTTTGGCGGCAGCCACAGTTTAATCCTTCCTGCTGGAGAGTCGAGGCTGACACCGCCTTCTACGGGGGCAAAGCCAGGATGCCAACTTTCCCGCGGCCCCCTCCTCTGCGCACTAGCCCAAACTTTGTGGTTAGGCGGTGTAAAGTAGCGCTGGGTCGTGGCCGCACCTCGAGCAGGCATTAGTGCTGACCTTCACGCCAGCCCCCAGTGGCCAAACCCGCCGCCCGAGCCTCCAGCAGGCTGCCTCCGGACCCCCTTCCACCGCCCCCCAGCCCTCGTGGGAAACCCGGACGACGGTAGCCCGGCCCCGCGTGTCACTACAGTCTACGACCCACCGTGGCCCAGAGAGACCGGGTTTCGAGGTCCACTCACCATTGGTGAAGGGCTCCATTTTCCCCCCGCTGCGGCTCCTTATAGCCGGAGCGCCCGAGCTTCCTACTCCGAGAGCTGAAGCGGCCCTGTTGACTGAGCATGCCCAGCGCGGCCTTGAGGGTTGCCGGGGAGGTGCCGCGTGGGGCGGCGCCGCTCCGCCGTTCCGGGTTTTCGCTTCGGCTGCAGAAAGAGCCAGGGAGGCCGGAGCCCAAAGCTTCAGCTCAACCCTCGGAGGACTTCAGGGAGAGGCGGGGAAAGAGCGGCAGGGGCGGGGCCAGAGCGAGCCCCGCCCCGCCCCTTCCAGAAGTGCCAGCGGCCGCAGCGTTCCCTAACCGCTAAGCTAGTTCACTTCTTCAGCCAACGTGGAGGCCCTTCAGTTCCTGGGCGCCGCTAGGCCGGCTCTGCGCCAGAAAAGCACCGCCCCGCCCTTGTGGAGCGGACATTCCAAAGACAGACAATAAACAAACGCAGAAGACACGCGAGAGTAAAATCAGTGCCCCACTGCGCATTCAGTCAGGATGATGTGATGGAGAGGGAGTGGGTCGTTCATTCAGTTGGCTTGGTGATGTGAGGCCTCGCTGAGGAGGTGCCACTGAAGTCGAAATCTGAAGGCAGAGCAGGATCCTGAGGAGGAAAAGTCACTCTTTGGACCGCAAAACGTCGGTTTCCAGGGAGACTGGCCCCAGGCAAATCGCTTAGAGGCCAAAGGAGCGTGTGATGTGGGTCTTTTCCGCAGGGCTGCCCGCCGATTGCAGAGTTGTCCCAGAGTTGAATCTCGCTGGCTAGGAGACCGAAGTGAGGGCGGGGACGCCCACGGACCCCACAGCGCTCGGGGTCGCTTCCACGGGCTGGCGGCTCTAGGCGCGGCCTCAAGATGCGGGCGGATCAAAAAACCCGGCGCCGGATCTCCCGGCCGGGCCCCAGGCGCCGCAGGTTGTGGGCAGAGGCTCGCCTGATCTCAGCTCTAAATCAACACCTGCGGTTCCCTGGGGCGCTGTCTCTGGGGCCTTGGGCCAGGCCCTGCGGCGCTAGGCCAAAGACGCTCTCCTAGTCTCTCCTGTCCCCCAACCCTCGCGCCATTGTCTCCAGCCCCGAGTCTCCATTGTTTCCAATGCCAAATCCCGGCAGCTCTGGTGAGCCTTCGAGACAGAATCCTCGGTGGACCCGTGAACCCCGGGGAAACTCTTGTCCGCGCTCTTCCTCATCCCTCTCTCCGAGCGCGCATCGCCTCCACCCTCGCGGCAAAGGCCTCCCCCCTCCCAAGGCGCAGCCACCGCTCGTTTCCCTCCTCCCCTCCCGCAGCTCTGGCCCCTGCAGCGACTTGGCTCCGGATGCACCTCACTGCGCCTGCCAACTGTCACACAGTCCTCTGAGGCTGTCAACAGCAGGGCGTCGGGTGCAAACAAGCCTAGGCGAGGGCAAACAGGGACGGAGGGCCAGAATGTTTTTCGACCAACACCAGAATTAGAAATTGGGTTCAGAGAAATGAAATCGAAGTGCAATATCGTATTTTAAAATGTCAATTGTATTACACCTTTTACTTCCCACCCCGCTTTAAAACTTCAAATAAATACCAATTTTAATTAGAATAAAAGTGAAACTCCTTACCTAACTCTAGGACCTTATCAATACATGCTCACCATGCTTTGGCTACAGAGGCCTCCTAGCTGTTCCTGAAAGTGCCAAGTTCCATATGACATTGTTAACCATTCATTTTGCATATCCGTTGCAAAAGAACTAGTTGTTCCTTCTTGGTATTTTGTCTGCTGGTTTCTTCTTGTCCCTTAGGTCTCAGCTCAGATATCACTTCTGCAAAGAATGCTGGTCTGACCACACATCTGAAACAGCTACAGTCCGCTCTATAAAGATTTGGCCTTACTTCTTTACAGCATTCAATTCTGTCAAAACCATGGTTTTGGTTCTTCGTTTAATTATTATTAATCTTCCTCTTGAGAATGCAAAAATTTTGAGGACAGAGTGATTGCCCTTTTTAAGGTTATATCCTGATGCCTAGATAAGTATAAGATGAATAATTACTGAATGAATGAGTGAATGGATACAGTGATATTTAGAGCTGTAATTCACAGCCAATGTTAAAAAACAGTGTATCTATATTGAATATTTCTAATTAATGTGTTCGTGTTCAATATAGAGAAAATGCCTCCATTACATGACATTTTAGAGCTGCTCTCTTCCTACTGTGTGAAAGATAATAGCCCTTAGGGTGGACTCTGTAAGGGCACTTCACAACCAAAAATAAAAAGTGAACCACAAGGGTTAGTGTGTCAATGTTCAGATATTACACAGTATAAGCAAAGTTGGATTTTGTTAAAATGATTCTTTGCATTACTTAGTTAAGAGACTCTTCTCTATATTTTAGGTCATGTCATGTTCCTCTGGAGTTATTTTTGTAGCCATTGCACTTAGTATCAGAGATATTTAAAACTCCATAGCTTGTTAAACCACCTCACCTCATCTCACCTCACCCCACCTCACCCCACCTCACCCTTCAGCTACAGTCTATCATGCTTTTAAGTGTGAAACATGTGGTCTTGTGTTTTGTTTTAAATACTTCAACTCTGCAAACTTGTGGTAAAAATGTTTCCCCACTGCACTAGCAAATATAGGTGGATCAAGATATCTTAGTGTGATTTGACAGAAGCAAACAATTTCTTTGCCCCTCACGCTTCCCGTTCTTACATACATAAAAAGACATTGAGGACTCTTTAAAAGACTTAGGATCTAGTGGGAAAAAAAGTAAACAAAACAATATGCTTCAGCATCCTAGCCACCCTCAAAAGAATAATAATGAATTTTGTCATGTTGTGTGCTGTTTTAAATTTAATTTCATAAAATCTTTCTGAGGAAAAAAAGTATTACAATTTCACTACTGAAACCCATTTTACGTTTCTATCTTTAACCCCTCCCATCCTCCCTGACAGCACTTACTCTTTAGTTTAAGAATTCTTAACACTTCAAAATATTATGAAGTTACTACTCTTTATCAAAGAAGCTAGTGTGACATTATCTACTACATATATTTACCATTTTTAGAATTATTCCTGTGTGCCATTTAATGTTTGAATTATAAAATATAAAAAAATAACATGAAAAAAACATGGGTTCTCCTGAATAATAAACAACATTTGTTTATTTTTTTTTAAAAAAGAATATAAATTAATATAGTCATATGGAAAAACAATATAGAGCCTCCTCAAAACATTAATATGTATCTACCTTATGATCTGGCTATCTCATTTTGGATTATATATACAAAGGAAACAGCATATAAAAAGAGACTTCCATGACCATTTTTATTGCTGCATTATTCGCAATACCTAAGGTATAAAATCAACCTAGATGCCCATTAATAGATGAACAAATAAAGAAAATGTGATATGTACACACAATTATTTAGCCACTAAAAAGAACACTCTCCTATCATTTGCCGCAAAATGGGTAGAAATAGAGCACAATATGTTAAATGGAATAAGTCAGACATAGAAGGACAATTACTGTACGCTTTCTGTCATATGTCAGTGCTTTAAAAAGTCAATCTGAATATATAATAGTGATTACTAGAGGCTGGATAGGGATGGGGTGAGGGGGAAGTGGAATAATGGAAACCAAGACATATTAGGTAGAAGTAAGTTCTAGTGTTCTACAGCACAGTGGGGTTACTGTAGTTCAAAAACATATATTTTATGAATAACTTGGAGAGAAGAGTTCAAAGTCTTCAAACAAAATAATAATAAGATGGAAACATTAATTACCCTGACTTGATCAGAACACTTGTAAATGTATATTGAAATCTCCTGCTGTACCTTATAAATATGCATAATTATTATATGGTAATCAAAAATTTTTTAAAAATTTACAGAGACAGAAATGCTAACTACCCTGATTTGATCATTGAATATTATATACATGTATCAAATCATCACACTGTACCCCATAAATATGTGCAATTAAAATAATAATTTTTAAATACCCTGACATTTAAATTTTTCAGCTGAAATTAAAATATTTATATTCCATTTAAATTAATAAAAACATTTTAAAATAATTAAGCTTAACAACAGATGAATATATGATTTTTTAAATCAAAATAAAAGCATTTTGTCTGCCATAGTTCTAAGATTTGTACCTGCATAGATGTGTTTACATAGATCCATAAAACGTGAGGCTTATATCAGCCTCATATTTTACAGATGATGGAACTGCAGTCTAGAAAGGGTAGAGGACTTACTCGCAGCCCAGGGGAAGACACAAGCTGGAACTCGGGCCATCTGTGCTCTAAAAATATTGCTATGAAGTTTGCTGTTGCCTCCTTATATCTAGAAGGAATTTGGGATCAATGGCAATGTAAATAGATATGAATTTTAAAAAATGAAGCAAACTTAAGACTACAAGAAGGCTATTCCATTATTATATTGATAGTCCATATCTCATCTGGATTTGTACTATCAAGTAGTCTAATTGTTTTGAAATAAGCCAATTAACGATACATTAATTCAGTACACACATTTGAAAATGTTATTCTTTCAGCACTTTTCAGTAAATGGAGGACACTACCCGATGCCAAAACAAGAATGACCACCACAATGTTTCCAGTCACTCTAACGAATGAAGGAGTCAATATCTCATTACTCCTGTAACCCATTTGCAGCACACATACTCTGCATTAATTAGAGATATTTGAAGTTATGTCAAACTAAGAAATGTTGAGAGCACAAAAAAAAAGAATAATTATCCAACGATGTTCTTGTGGAGTTCTAACATCAGCAAAGCAATGCAGCTAAGTAAAGGAAAAGGTTATTGTTAGAAAGGAATAGTTATATACTAGCTTATATGCTTTGTACTAGAAAAACCAAAGCTCTGAACCAAACTAGTTTAAACAACAAGGACATTTATCATTTCACATAAAAAGTCCAGAGGGGCTGGGGTTGTTGGTCAGTAGTAGAGCACTTGCCTAGCATGTGTGAGGCACTGGGTTCAATCCTCAGCACCACATAAAAAATAAATAAAGTTATTGTGTCCATCTACAACTAAAAAATTAAATTAAAATTTTAAAAGCCCAGATACAAGACAAACTTCAGTTGTAACTTCCCAACCTCATGAAGAAATCAACTTCTCACTCCAGCCAGCAATCCTTTGTATAAGTAATTTTCCAAAAGACTAACTACCATATAGCCCAAAAGGTGACTGCAGTGGGGAAGGAATTTTTCTCTTTTGTGTTTCTTTCTTAAGAACAAGAAAACTTTTCTCAAATATCACCCATTAGAATTCTCCTTAGGTCTCATATGCTAAAACTGTGTTTTGTACATATCTAAACCAAATACTGGGAATAAAAAGGTTACCATGACTAGTTTCTTAGACAAAGTTCTTGTGAAATGCTGACTTTAGTCATCTCTCTTGTCTCATAGGAGAAGAAGGAAGAATTTGAATAAGATTGCTTTTCTTACTCAAAAGGGAAAAGGGAAGTTCGAAAGGAAAAAGGAATGTTCACTAGGGTTCATGGACACTGACATATTTTAATACTATTTTGATAATTTTTAAAAATACTATGATACTTATATAGCGAAAAATAAAGAGCCCATTAAATCCAATGTATATTTCATGTAATTGGGCAACATAACTAAGATTAAAAACCAAGAAATGGTAAATTATTAAACCATGAATTTTGATCTGATATAGCTGCTAAAATTGAAAAATAAATCTAACTTTTGCATTAGACATCTCTGTTAGTTTGCTATGACTACCATAAAAACTACTGCAATTTGAGTAACAATGGAAATTTATGGTCTCATAATTCTGGAGGATAGAAATCCAAGATGAAGGTGTTAGCAGGTCCAGGCTCCCTCTGAAGGCACTAAAGAAAGATCTGTTCCAGGCTCTCTCTCTCCCCCAGGTTCTGGTAGATTCTTGGCATTCTCCCTGTGTTCATATCTATGTACAAATTTCTCCTCATAAGGACACAAGTCAGATTAGAGGCCCATGCTTTGGATCCAACACTACCTTAAATAATTAATCTGAAACAACCCTGTTACCAAATAAGGTCACATTCTGAGATACTGAGAATTATGAATTTAATTTACAAATTGTAGGAGGATACTACTCAACTCACAACAATATCCTTGTAACAGAAATAAGATTGGGGATAAGTACCAACATAGAATCAATCAATTAAAAAATATGGAAAAAAAACAGAATAACGTGAAGAAGTGAGAAGAAGC